CTGCCTACCTACCTGCCTACCTACCTACCTGCCTACCTACCTACCTGCCTACCTACCTGCCTACTTACCTGCCGTAACTACCTACCTACCTCCCTACCTACCTACCTCCGTACCTCCCTACTGTCTACCTACCTACCTGCCTACCTACCTACCTGCCTATCTACCTGCCTACCTACCTACCTACCTGCCTCCTACCTACCTGCCTGCCTACCTGCCTACCTGCCTACCTACCTGCCTACCTACCTACCTGCCTACCTGCCTACCTGCCTACCTACCTGCCTACCTACCTGCCTACCTATCTGCCTGCCTACCTACCTACCTGCCTACCTACCTACCTACCTACCTACCTGCCTACCTACCTACCTGCCTACTACCTGCCTACCTACCTACCTCCCTACCTACCTACCTGCCTACTACCTGCCTACCTACCTACCTACCTACCTACCTACCTGCCTACTACCTGCCTACCCACTTACCTGCCTACTACCTACCTACCTGTCTGCCTACCTACCTACCTACCTACCTGCCTACCTACCTACCTACTACCTACCTGCCTACCTACCTACCTACCTACCTACCTACCTACCTACCTGCCTACCTACCTACCTACCTGCCTCCTACCTACCTACCTACCTACCTACCTACCTGCCTGCCTACCTACCTACCTACCTGCCTACCTACCTACCTACCTACCTACCTACCTACCTACCTTTGCATACAGCTGCTATTACACCTTGAGGGCGATCCGGACCGCTCACCCTGGCATCCCCGACCGCCTTGGGTGGGCGGCGCGAGTTCCCCCTCGACTGCAACAACAGTGAGCGCGCCGCCACGTCAGAGGCCCGACATACCCGAGCTATGGCCGCCCTTTGTTAATCTTCCGATCTGGGGGACGATGCGGGATCCAACCGAGGGGGATTATCCGCCGCCGGAGGATTATCCGCTGGCAAGCAGCCCACCGGCGGCACCTGCGCCAGCCTTGCAGCCTTTTTGGGAGGTGATGCCGTTGTATCCGTCTGGCCCCTCCTCCTCCTCCTGGGTTCCTGGGGCATACCCTGCAGCGCCACCAGTGTACTCTGCAGCGCCACCAGTGTACTCTGCAGCGCCACCAGTGTACTCTGCAGCGCCACCAGTGTACCCTGCAGCGCCACCAGTGTACTCTGCAGCGCCACCAGTGTACCCTGCAGCGCCACCAGTGTACCCTGCAGCGCCATCATTACCACCGCTGCCACCACCGCCGTCTCCACCACCACCTGTGCTACCAGCCGCCAACCCGCATGTTATGCATGTCTCCCCCGCGCCTCCATCTTCGCCGTTTCCGTCGCTGGATCATTCGCTGCCGCCTCTGCTGCCGGCTGTACAGCCCTCATCAGCCGGGGCACCTCCGCCCTCTCTTGCGCCGGAGCCAACCCCGACAACGCCATCAGGTACCCCCCAGCCGCCGGTTTATCCACCACCAGCCTTGCCTCTGATATCCTCTGCTCCGCCGTTTCCTTCTGGGGTGCCGGCGGCAGCACCGGCTACGTCTCCTGCTCCCGTCCAGATGGACTCAAGCGGGGTGCCACCTCCACCTCCACCTCCACCGGCGGCGGCGGCACATCCGCTACCAGCAGCTTTCCCCCCTGCACCGTACCGCCCACAGCCATCCCCTCCAACGCCTGGACCCCCCCTCCTGCCACCACCGTCACGACATGTTCGTCGATTACCGCGGCACATCACCGAAACGCCATGGCGGCCACCGCATCTTCCCGAACAGCCGGCGGAGGAGGCGCCTTCGGTGGCTCCTCCCCGCCGCCTGCTGTTGCAACGGGCTGACGACCAGGCGAGCCCGCAGCGGCCCTGCGTGCCTCCCATGCGCTCGCAGCAACCCAACCGGGCGCCGCGTGCTTCCCAGTCCCGGTGGAAAGCATCTCCCCATGCGGAGCATCTCCCCGGCGGGAGGTGCTTGGAGGGCTAAATCAGCCGTAGCGGCAGAGGGGGGCTCTCCGCGAGGGGCGGGGGAATGGAGGGAAGGTCCTCGAGGGGGATGGGGGGGGAAAGACGAACCACACGCGATGGGGGGGGGGCTCGGAGGGGACGCCAAGTTTGTTGGTGCAGCAGCAGCTGATGGAAGCTGAAGTCACTTTGTGGCGAGCTGCGGCGAGCGTCCGCTGGGGCTGCTGGAGCTTGTCGTTTGGTCGCTGCTGTGCGGCCGCCTGTGCAGTTTCGCAGTCGTCGCGATCGATCGGGGATGGGGAAACGGTTCGGCAGAAGAATAAGTTTATACATGGATTGGAAACGATTTATGGATTGATACATCGTGGTGGCGGTGGTGGTGGTGGTGGTACTAAAAAGAGTACGGATTCTGGAGAAATAGGAAGTGCCTTGGGGCCTTATTATGGGGGCTTATTGGCGGGAACGCCGAGTCGTGTCGTGTCTTCGCCGCCGTGATTTCTGACGGCAAGAAAAGGGTTGTTGCCTGACCTGGCATGTGCATATGCACGTGCATTTACATGTGCGTACGGATACACGTTCACGTACGGGGGTGCATGGATCAACAGGCACGTGTGCGGCTACATGATCACTAGAAGGCTCGTTCCTCATTTTGCTGAAGGTTGCTGGTTCGGGATACTGTGTTTGCACGTTGTGTGGTGGTCATTACGCCATGTCATGAAATGTGTGCTTGGCGCGTGCGAAAAATTTTGGATTTGTAAAAGAAGGGAGTAGTGTTGTAAAAGGAAGAAGTATTGCTGTGGTGGAGGGTGAGGAGGAGGAGGAGGAGGAGTGGATCGTTGAGCTCTGGGCGAGCGAGGGCGGATATGCCGCGCACGTCGTGATGACTCGGGTGTGCACGTGCGCGCATGCATACCCGCGTTTTACCCGTTAGACAGTTGTTGTTGATGGCGTCTGCTTTTCGGTTTAGGATTGTATGTGACTGCGGTCGTTGGGGTTCGTGTGGTGCCCGGGGTGCCTGCCGACTGTCCGTTGTTTATCGAACATCTAAGAAGCACATGTGGTATGTGGAGTGCTGTGTGCGGTTCGCGGGATATGCGGGTGCGCCCTGGAGATGCGGCTAGTCGATTGGGTAGATCGATGGCAACTGGTGAGAGGAGCAGCTGGCGAGATGAGCAGCTGGCGAGATGAGCAGCTAGCGAGATGAGCGGCTGGCGAGATGAGCAGCTGGCGAGATGAGCAGGTGGCGAGATGTGTCAATAAATCTGCATGCGAACACATGCCCCGCGCCCGTGCGCAAAGTTTAGGTGAAGTCATTCAGTTGAAAGCATTGTTTGCTCCAAGGTGCGCACATTCATTACCTGCATTTCTTTCCGGTTTGCGCGCAAACGTAAACCTGATTTAATTGTCTTGCTCGCGCGTGCGCGTGCTTAGGAGAGCACGTCCATACTCGCCGGGGGAGTTATTACTCGTGCGCCGGCAGGCTGGGCCCTGGTGCTACTGCTACCTGGCCCCCTGGGGCCACGTGCAGCTTTACCCGTCTCATGCCGGGTCTCATGCCGGGTCTCATGCCGGGTTTTATGACGTCAAAATGTGGTTGGTAGCACCACTACTTGCACCTCATGTGACCATGTCCCGGATGCTGGTGTGTCGAAAAGGGACGAAGCGTCCTTTGTCAAATCCTGCGCGGCGCACACGCAGCGCGACGGCGTCAAGGTGAAAGACCGTGTCAACCCGTCTGCTGTGCTGTGCGGCGGTGCAGTGCGTCCTGTCTCTTCTCTTTGAAACGCGGCTGGCGGTAGGAGTGATGTTAGCAGGTGTAGCGGTAGGGGTTCAATATATATGTAGAGTTCAGTTCGTACTTTTGATTGCCTTTAAAATCAATCAAGGAGATTTCAGACCATTCTTCGTTTGTTTGTTTGGATTCAACAAGCTGAGCCGCGCGGTGACGTTGGTTGTGGCGATGTGCTCTATACGGCCTGGTGCTGACCTGGCGGGGCACCACACTACGTATAGTGTCGAATAAAGAGGGCCAGGCCAGGTACATGATGATGTGAGTTTGTTTTGCGCACTACGGTGAGTGTGCGTGTGCTTGTTTACACTGCGCATGAATGGATATACCATACTCGCTTGGGTTATTTTCTGGTAGGTGCTACTGGCGCTATAGCAGATTAGTGGCGAGTGGATTTGGCTGGGGGCTGGGGGGCCTAATAAGCAGGTTTCTGACTGGACGTCGGGGTGAATGGCCGTTGCGAGGACGAATGGCTGACTGACCGACTGGCCGTACATCGCGCGGCATAATTCTGATTGTTACCTCAGTTTGTAATGGCCTGGTGGCTGCGGCGTGTGGGCTGCTAGGACGCCTCGTTCAGTTGCTGGTCAGTTGCACGGCCCTGGTGACGAGCGGCATGGATTGCCTGGTCGGTCGGACATTTGTGTTGTGTTGTGGAGGTACGTTGCGGTGCGTCTGACACTGACGTACAACTGCTCCACCTTACCTGCCTCGTGTTCCGCCGCCGGCCCTCGCGCCTCAGGACATCATAGCTTGCCGGACAATGGCATGCCTAGAAATTCGCCGACAGCGGATTTGTTCCGTTTCGTGAAGTCATGCGTCATGTTGTTAAGTAGCTGGACAGCGCTGCCGCCCGTTGGCAGCGTACGCGTGGGGCAATACGGTGTAGCTATAGGCGCATTTCGGGGCCGGGGGTGTGGGCGCTCGTTGATCGATCGATTATATCGCAGGTGTAGGTTGTGAGTTGCTGGATAAGCTGCAGGGTTTTCTGTTTTTCTTCATGCCAAGTTTTCGATTCGCGCGTGGCAGCCCCTGGTACGTGGCTGTCGGTGTAGTCGTGTAGTCCCCCCCCGGAGGGCGCTTGCTGCTGCTGGGGCTGCAGGGGCTGCTGCTGCAAGGGGCTTCTTAGTGCTCCTTTTTCCGTGAAGTAGTCTTAAGTCCGCGGGGTGATTGATGGCTTCTCGCATTTGATTAACCCCTGGGGGTAGCTAGCCGGCCGCTTTGCTGAACACGCCATGGTCACGTCAGCTAATGCGGGCCGTTGTCCCCGGAGGTGGCTACCAGGCTGGCCTCGTGGCGTATGTAGATGGCGCTGAGTACGCAGGTAGATAGGTAGGTGTGTAGAAAGGTAGATGGATGGTCTCTGCAGATAAGTGAATTTTAGAAGTCCTTGCACTCTTCCTTTAAATGTCTATCGACAGCCCATCTATCTCTCTATCCATCTATCTATCTATATATATATTTATCTATCTATCTATCCATCCATCTATCTATCTATCTACCTATCTATCTGTGTCTCGGATATCGTCCATCAAGGGTCTCTGCATGCACGCACCTTTCCGATATTGCACTAGACGGCTCCGTTCGCCCCGCTTGCTTGCTCATGCGTGCATACATACCTGGCCATATCGTGCGCGCTGTTTTCAATGCTGTCGCCTTTTTTTGTTAATGGGGTTAGGACTGTTGAGTCACCGCATGCAAGCCTCATGTACACGTAATCAACCGCCTGGCGGGATGCATGTACGTGTGGTTGCAAAATCTTGGCGTATTTGCAGGCAGACCGAGTTCATTCGGGATGGGGATAGACACATGACAAGTAGTGGCTTGAAGTAGTGGGGTGGTGGGTTGGGGTGGGGTGGTGGGGTGGTCGTGGTGGGGTGGTGGGGTGGTGGTGGTGGGGTGGGGGGGTGGCGGGGTGGTGGTGGTGGGGTGGTGGTAACGCGATCTGTTGTATCGCTGGAGAGTATTGCACACACACACACACACACTTATTGGCTTCAGGGCAACTTAGGTTTCTGGGCAGATGGGCTTACGTGGGCAGCTAGCAGCGCGGAGTTCATGTATGGCGCCATGCAGGCGCCATACATGGCGATAGCAACAAGCCCCTCGTTATTACTCCTCACTCCCGAGCGACAGTCGTAGCTGGTTGTGGGAGCGGGCCGTTTCCGAGCTGACATGTCCGTGTGTTGAGTGCGTCATCATCATCCGGCAGTACACATAAATACATACTTACAAACGTTGCTTGTAGCAGCAGTTCAAAGGCTGCTGCTGCGGAATAGGAGACATTGAGACGAGCTCTCCAACAGCCCCTTCTCGCAGTCGGCATGCTTCGCGACTCGAGAAGTCTACACAAAGATAGAAACTGGGGTGAAACACGGCGCTCTCCGTCTCTAGAGCTTGCCTAGGTATAGGCAGCGCGCGTGTGTGTGTGTGTGTGTGTGTGTGTGTGTGTGTGTGTGTGTGTGTGTGTGTGTGTGTGTACATGGAAGCTCCCCTTGCCGAGTCGTTTGCAGGGGGGGCATCTGTCAGTGGCAAAATGAGGTAGTTGCGGTGGGGTGAGATACATAATGTACAGCTAGAGGTGCTCCCCTCCAAACTAGGTAGGTAGCATCCATGGACTGGAAACGACCCAACAGGCGAGCCGACACATACATAGCCGCTTTCGGGCAACCAACCTTACTTATCAACTCATCGCCAATACACAAAAAAGGTTAAGGAAACATCATACTGACATCTTACCAGTCACGGAAATGTAAACATACATGCGCATATATCATCATATAATACCACGCAATACGTAACACGGGAATGGAAAACCGACTTGTCAAAGCAACAGCATTAAGTGGCAATAATCACCAATTATTGTGGTGATTAGAAGAAACCTTTTTTCTCCTAACCATGCGATTTCAACAATGCGCCGCAGCAACTGCAGCAGCAGCAACTGCGTGTGTCTAAATGAGCGGGGAACATGTAAGTGTTATTCTGCACGGTGATGGTAACGGGTAAAATATGTTTTCACCAGGCTTTGAGAAAACTCATCAGGAAATAACCCAATAAACGCAAAAACCCGACAGGATTAAACGAAACATTTGGACAACGCTGCTCCCGTGCAGCACTGTGTGTCCGTAGAGCCAATTTCACTTATCCACCACCTTTTCACATACACCGCCACCATCAAAACCAATTTAAAAATCAAAAGGACACCGCCAACCATCGTCACCAATCGGTGCCGCATCTTCAACCACCCCCCGAGATGTGGAAGACAGGGACCTTGGACTCACTAGTAAGCCCATCCCTGTTTCTCCAAGGGGCCATGCATGCATGGGCGCGTGTGGGATGACCTCTAAAGGCTGTCATGTCGTCGACTGAAGGCGAAACAGAGCCGCCTTCCGTACGCACAACGCCAACAACCGTCAGCCATCTGCGAACCTAAGTATGATTAGTTTACTGCAGCACCAGCAGCACCGCAGCAGCAGCAGCTGCTGCTGCCGCGGCGGCGGCGTTCGGCAACAGCAACATTCGGCAATAGCAGAAAAAAACAGTTGGACCGCGGATATACGTGTTTTCGCCACAGCAACAGGTGGTGACTATAGTTCGCTATATAGCTACAATCAGGATCCGCTCTGCCGAACGCGAACTGCTCTCGTGAGTGCAGTTCCGCAAAGTCCGCCAGGTGCCTAATTTAACGGAAAAAAGCAACAACTTCGCACAACCCCAAAAACGTCACTATCTGAGTAATGTGATGGCTGTATACATGCCCCTGATGGCTACACACCACCCGCAGGGGAATGGGGATGTGGGCGAGAAACCATGCGCCGCAGCGCAGTGCATGAAATCGTCGCCCCGCATCATCATGCCCCGTTTGGCGGCCACAAAATTCATCGGCATTCTTCAACCCCCCGCTTCGTTGCTGCCTCCATCCTCGCGCTCAGAAATCTGCGCACTGGTCCCTCACCGCCGCCCCTCCCAGTTCGCCTCCCCCTCCATCACCGACCGCCCGCACGACCGGGGTGCGTGCCACATATGTGCGCGGGTCATAGCTAGCACGTGCCCCCTGGGGTCATAAGGTTGCATATGAAATCCAAAAGATGTGACGGCTCCAAAAAGACCAGACCCGCCGATGATGACCAAGCAGCCGGTAAACGAAGTCATATGGCTCTTCGCTGCACACGCGTCCTTTGGTTCTGACGACTGCTGGCCTTCTTCGGGTCTTCTTCTTCTTCTTCTTGTACTGCCGCCACCTTCTCCGCCACCACCTTCTCCTTCGCCTTCTTCTCATTCTTCTTCTTCTTCTTCTTCTTCTTCTCCTCCTTCTTCGGCTTCTCCGCTACGACTCAGTTTTGTATTCAGAACATATACACATACACATACACATACACATACACACGCGCGCGAGCGCGGGCCCCCTTGCATCAATCAGCAATCAGCAAACGATCAACACGTACGTTGCCACAGGCATGAAACCATCAGAACTCCCCAGACAGGGATCATCACCACCAATAACAACGTATAACAATCACGAAAAGGTTATTATACTATTAGATGATCGAGCTTCAATGCAGTGGCAGTAGCAGAAGCAATAGTTCCTCCACACGGCGCCAGAGCATGTCACTTCGGATATTGAAATTGAGGTGAATGCTCGGCCAGTAGGGGGTTTCGAATGCGGGTGTACTCGTGCACGTGTGCACGCACGTATGCACGGTGGTCTCTCCCTTTGGGCTCCCCTTTTTGTCGTACTTCCAGGCACCAGTAGGAGTCTTTTCCGTCCTCATCAACACCAGGAGAAAGCATCGTTACGAACAACAGCAGCAGCAAACGGCAGCAGGAGGGGGGATTTTCTGTCAGCCGGCCGGTCATAAAGATACATTTTATGACCACGATTTGCACGGCACACTTTACAGCGCCGTACAGCACTCAGCGGAAGCCGCCGCCCTGCTTCAGCATATCCATAACCCCCCCACTGTGGATTCGGATCCCATCATCCAATCAACTCATCCATCACACATCGACTTCCGCCGCATGCACCACGTATGAAAGGCACAACGCGTGCGCGCGGCTCCGCCATCACCAGGTCGTCACCGTACACGACCGCTCGAAACGGTGCCATCGGATCTGCAACCGCGGCCGCGTGCTGCGAATTTGGATTTTGGATCGCCATCCTGGAACCTACCCTCCCACCCTCTCCAAAGTGGGGGGGAAAGAGTGGAAAGGCCGAATGGAGCGGCCTGTTTACACAGGACTCACAGGGGCCCTATCTTCCCTCCCCGTGTGCTATTCAACACGTATACGTACAGACATACACGCCCAACGCACGCACCTATGCACAGCAGCACTGCTGCAGCACTTGCCCAGCTGCCCGCCGCCAAAGACCTAACAGCAGCCAGCCTCACACACAGAGAGACATACACACGCACACAGTCAGACAGACAAACACACGGACAGACAGACGGACAGGCGAGCCTTCCCGAACCCCACCCATCCACAAAACACACACAGCAGCCGAACCTGCCGTGGTCCCGGACCACTCATTGAGCGAAAATCGCTGTCCCCCTCCTCCTCCTCGTCCTCCCCCTCCTCCTCCTCCAAAAACCGCCGCAGGCGGCAGCGCATGTGGCCCTCCAGCACCACACTAATCCGCGTCGTACAAATGGCGAATGACGACGAACTACCGGACGGGCTTGTCGGGCAGCCTCCTCCCGACAGTACTCTAGAAACGAACGTTGCCGTCAAGGCGAGCTGTGGCTACGTTTGCATGTGTGGGGACATCAGTTACGGATTCAGTAACAACCAACTCTTCCCCCCAATTATCCGCAGCATATGCCTCTCTCCCCTCCTCCGATAACGGGAGCTTGAGAGACGATTCGACTTATTTTTTTGAGGCCATGGTCACCAGCATCACCGGCTTCCACGGGTACCCAAAAAGGAAAATAATAATTGATGTCCAGAATGCCGCCGGCTTTATAACGCACAGCATGCATACCTCCATCACCATCCGCGTTGAACCCCCCACCCCTCAACCCCACCGGGTATATAGCCGGTGTGTATGTGGGGGGTGCGCGCCCGGGGTTGCCGCCAAGGCTTCCAAACCAAAATTCGATACCTTTCCCGTGTCTCAAATCGGCACAGAATGCGGGGGCATGTGGAAGGTGGCGGTGGATATAGAGATATATTGGATTGGATGTGGGGGGAGATGGATTTGTGATACTATGGGTTTGTGATAATATCCCACTATGCAGCAGAAATCACGAGAGGCATTCACAGCCGCCTCCAAGATTTCCAAATGCGCTGGATATTCCGAGTCGTCTAGAAAGGAGAAACCCGCCAAGTACCCCAAGAATCACATACAGACAGACAGACAGAAACTCAGTTCTTCTCACAGCGCTGCGGCCGCCTTCGCAGAAAGGGCCCGGTGCATTATCTTCCCCCCTTCCCGCCCCTCCCCTTCCGGGCCCCCCACACACACACGTGCACCGCGACACCCCACAGTTCTTGACATCGCCAATTCACAGGCCTATGGTTGCTGTGATGGCGATGTTGGTCCGACGGTTTCAGTTGCGGTTTCGGTTGTTGAATGACTAATAATCGCGCCAAGCAAGCGCAGCCCCCGTCCTACTCTTGCCGTTCCGGTATTGGTGACATCCATCCAGTTAACCGTATATGACGAGATGATGATACGCGACGACGCGCAGCAGTGCGGGCTACCAGGCTACCCCCCCTGGCCCATGTGGTCGGGGAGGACGCAAAGCAAAAAACACCCTCCACACTAATTCCGCGATCACAACAGTAAAACTCTCCTCTCCTCTTCTCCCACCCCGCGTTCGCCTGTCTGTCTATCCCTGTGCTGTTGCGCATTTTTTATGCACACTCTTGCGGTACGGAAACCCCCCTTCTCCCAACACGGCCCACAGCCCCAGAGTCCTCATGCGGCCCGGAGATCCCCCCCCCGCCCTCCCTCCCTCCCACCACCACCACCGCCAGCAGTAGCAGCAGCAGCAGGAGGAGGAGGAGGAAGGAGGACGAGGGCGAACAGAGGGAGTAGATATGTTCGGCTGAGGTACATTCCCTGAGCTTCCTTGCTTCAATCAAACAGAACAACTTAACACCCTCTTATGCTCTCCTTCTTCTTCTCCTTTTTCTTCTTCTTCATCACCACGACGGCCGCTCCCCTCCCTCTCCATTGCCCTTTCAAGCTTTTTGAAAGGGCAAAAAGCTCTTGTAAAACGCTTTTCTCTCTGCCCCACAACCCTCGTACAGTCATGCAAAAATAAGCTCACACAATCACAGGATTAATTAATCACACGAATTGACGTATTCCTACAACGCTCCCTGCCCTTTCTCCTCTTCCCCCTCCCCCTCCCCACGTGGGACGTCGTACTTCCGACGTCTGCTCCGGCCGCAAGTGTCGTACTCGCAGGGCCGGCAGAAATGGCACACAGCCGGAATGCCGCTCCAGATAGGGCTTCTGCTACTGCCGCTAATACCGGTGCTACAGCTGCTTCGCTTTAACAGCCCCTGACTGGAAAGCAGTAGCCGTCGCGGTGGCAGCAGCAACAGCGGCTGCAATGGCGGCTTTGGGATCTGCAGTCGCCGCCGCCGCCGACCAATCGGTGTTCGTACGGCCCCCTGGCGGCGCAACCTACTGGGGTGTTGCAGGCTCTGGTGATGTGGACTGGGGGTTGCCGGCGGCGGCTGCAGGCCATGCGCGTCCGTAGTACAGGGAGCTGGGCTGGTGGCCGCCCACCACCAGCGGCGGCGACGGCGACGGCGGCGGCGGCGGCGGTACGTGCAACGCCAGCGCCCTGCCGCCAGCGACACCACCCCCGGTCGAGCCAAACATGGGAATCGTAAGCGCACCACCGCCGCTGCCGGGGTGTGCAACTGCAGTCGCCTCTGCCGCCGTCGCCACGGCGGTCATCCCGCCGCCGCCGCCGCCGCCGTTTCCCCCCACTCCACTCGTTGCCGCCGGGGTGTGCCTTAGAGTCCCCGCGCCGCTGGGCCTCTGGTAGAGCTGTTGCGGCGGCTGATACACGTAGAACGGCGCATGACTTGGCGGCGCTTGACTTGGCTGCTGCTGCTGCTGCACCGCCGCCGCCGCCGCCACCACATCAGTGTCGCCATTGGCTGCTGCTCTGGCAGCTGCCGCTGCGGCCGCTACCGCCGCTACCGCCGACGGCTGCGGCCACATGCCCTGTATCGCCGTCTCCGTAGCGCATCTTGACGGGAGGCGCCGGCGGCTGGCAACGGCGGTAGCGGCGGCGGCAGTAGCAGGCCTGACGCTGCCGACGCTGCTGCTGATGCCGACGCCGCGCCCGTGGCCGTGGCCGCGCAGCCAGTTTCCCGAGTCGCCTGCCGCCTCCAGGAGCGCCTCCAGCTCCGTGACCAGTTGGAGGGCGGTGGGGCGGCTTCCTGGCTGCTCGTGCCAGCAGCGCTGAGCCAGGTCCCTGGGGGGAGGACGTGTATGTGTGTATGTGTGTCCGTGTGTATGTGTGTATGCGTGTATGTGTGTATGTGTGTATGTGTGTATGTGTGTATGTGTGTATGTGTGTATGTGTGTATGTGTGTATGTGTGTATGTGTGTATGTGTGTATGTGTGTATGTGTGTCCGTGTGTATGTGTGTCCGTGTGTATGTGTGTGTAGTGTGTATGTGTGTCACACACACGTATCCCTTCAGCCCCACACTACACATGTGCACATACATCCAGGCCCGCCTGCCATTATGCCGTCGATACCGCGTCCTTTCGTCTGTATGTATGCCCCGGCACCCACCAGCACCACCTCAAAGCATAAAGGCTCCTCTTTTTCCTCTGGTTTCCTTAATTCATCTTTCCGTACCTTTTCCGTACTTCATCGCTGCCCTCGTACTTCCCCCCTGGCGATTTTTCTTTCTTCACCTCTTTTTTTCTTTCCCTTCCTCCTGACTAACGACCGTCGCGCGTGCGCACACGCACGGTTTCTCAGTCAAACATTTGCTTCCACGGTTGCGGCCCTCCCCCCCGCCTTTTGTCAGTTCTAGCCACCTCGTCGCCCTTCGGCACTTTTCATGACTCTTCTGATCAACATCGATCTTTTGAAAACACCACCTACGTTTCTACAGTTTCAATGGAAATTTCCATCACCTCGCTGGCTGGCGACGTCGGAGCTCGTTTCGGTACGGAGTGTTCTTTGCTTGTGTTATTTTACCACCATCGGTATTATCTACCTCATCATCTCGGCACGCAAGATCATTAATACACAAAACACACATCCAAACACAT